TACACATCCTTACAATGTCAAAGGATTTTTCAAAAGGAAACTAGCTCCCAATTACTAGTTTTGTTTTGTTTTGTTTTTAGTCACAGGAGCAGAGAGAACATATTCCCTTGGAAGTGCACCACTGGGTGAACTGAGGTATTTTAAAGATAGAACTTATTTTCCTTCTATTGCCTCATAAAGTTCCTGTCTATCACCACTCTTGTTGGCTCTCACTTAGAAAACTGTATTTCTTAGACATTCCCTTATATATCTGCTTAATAATTGTTTTCAAGGATAAGGCCATATGAAATAAAGGACCTTCTCCTTTTACATACATGGACCTGGTAAGTGAAAATTTGAATCTGAGATCTCTTTAAAAATAGAACAGTTTAGAGAAAGGTGATGTAGCACAGGAGTGATAAAGAATTCCGCCTTTCAGGGGACCTGGGTGGCTCAGTTGCTTAAGCGACTGCCTTTGGCTCAGATCATGATCCCAGGGTTCTGGGATCAAGACCCACACTGGGCTCTCGGCTCAGTGGGAAGTCTGCTTTGCCCTTTGCCTTCTGCCTTCCGGTCTGTCTACTTGTGCTCTCTCTCTCACTCTATCAAATAAATAAATAAAATCTTAAAAAAAAAGAACACAGGCTTTGGATCCAGAGAGACCTGGGTTGAGTTTTACTTGCACTCCGATTTACTGGTTCTTGGATTGCAGGAAACTATTTAACTTTAAAATCGTGTATAATCTTGTAGAGATAAAATGAGATAAATGAAGTGATTTTAAAGTATTTGTCATGATAGCTGGCTAATAATAATAATAATACGATCAAAAACAACATTTGGTGAGTGGTTACTGTGTGCCAAACTTTTTCTAAGCAGTTTACATATATTACTTTATTTGATTAGTACACAAATCCCATGAGATAAATACTATTGCTTCTTCCATTTTACTAATGAGGAGCCTAAGACAGAGAGGTTAACTTGATTGAGGTCACATAGCTACCGAATGAAAGGGCCGGGATTGAAATCCAGGTATTCTAAAGTCCAGGTTCTTAAAAATAAGCCTGACTTTTCCTCCTCCCTCATCCCCTCTCCTGCTCTCTCTCTCTCTCTCAACAGATACTCTGTAAAGAGTACTCTCCACAGTGTCTGAGGTCTCACGGTATATAAGCTTCAGGAATGTGAATTTCTGTTGCGGAGTGAGAGTAAGTAATAAATAATTAGACCTGAGATCTTTTAAGAAAGTGATAAGTATATGTAAAATCACGTTTTACTGCCCTTGGTTTCCCCATCGCCTATTATGATATGCATAGTAGAGACCCAATTAATATTATGGAATTGACTTAAATGGAAAAGAAAACTCTCATGTTTTATTATAAGCCAGCTTCTTTTGTGGAAGATTCTAGGTAGCATCTGAAGAGAAAGCATCCCCATCTTGAGGCAAAGAAAACAAATTCTGTTAAATTCACTGCAAAATTGCATTTCTCCTTCTAAACCCATATTTCACAATGGCCAAGGCATTCTAATGAAAGCAGGCTAAGCGAGCCCATCTATCAGCCAAGCAGCGGGTGTGCACCAAAGGCAGATGATTCTTAGAACCGAGGCTTCCAGTGATAAGCGATGATGGAAGAAACGATTGACAAACCTGCAATGGTAAGATTGCTCTGCTAATGATTCAGAGCCTGCTCGGTGCAGCATTTCAACTGTTATCCAGCAATCTCACACTTTATTCAGGCATGCCATATGTAAATTTCTAATTAATACTAGAGAGCTGCATTGACTCCAAAGTAAGATTCAGGGGCATTATCTGATTGTGGGTTTTGCCTCTTCACTCTTCCCTCTTTTAATGCTTGACCCAAGAGGACCAGAAAGATCAAAGGAGCAAAGAAGTTGAAAATAAGCCAGGTCTAATTGAGAATTTGTACCTTCTTAGCATTTCTCTGACTCTAATAGGTTTCCTTTATGAGAAAATAACACATTAGATTTTAATCATGGCAGGTTTTCCGAACACTTGAACTGTGATAATATAATAATCCCTTAACAACTTGATTAGGAAATGTGTCCTATTGCTACAAAAATGCATGTGCTTGAGCCTGCCTGTGTTGGAGCCAGCTCATGTTGGCTTACTTAAGAAGCCTCACTCGCTTCTTTTTTCCGAATGCAGTCAGTGACTTCAGGTTGCTAGCCTAAACTCAGCCATGGTGGGAGTATTTACACCATGAAACTGGCAAACTCTATCTATCAGTGTGTGTGTGTGTGTGTGTTTCTGGAAAAATTGCGCCTGTTTACCCCTATCACTATTGTTGACCCAAGAAAGGTACACAGTCTGTTAATGAAGACGATCTAAAAGCACATCTTGTTCAGCATCAACAACACCTCTAAAATGTCATGGGGAGAAAGTCCTGGCTCCAAAATTGCTATTTCACAGTCTAGGCACAGAAGTCCCAGATGGACTTATTTTTCCCTCCTCTTCACAGTACCTTGGGGGACACACCACACACTGGTGATTCCAAAAAGGACGGAAACATATTCCTATGTGGAGGTTTCCTATCAGAGGTTTATCACTCATAGATGACCTCTTTTAAACCAATATGGGGTGCTGTCAGTAGAAGATACTACTACAGTATAACCACAAAGACCAATAAATCATCTTTACAAAAAGAGAATAAGAAATAAGACAGCAGGGCAAAACAGAAACAGAAAGCCTATGCTAAGGAAAATCACCACAATTGAAGATGCTTAATTTTGAGATTCCTGGAAGGCAAGGGATAAAGGGAAATGGGAAAGATTCCTTTGAGATGCGAGCTTCAGAAAAAGCAAACTTTTCATTTAACTCTAATAGGCATTTTCCAAATGAGGCAGTTAAGTAGCATAACACATGTGTAATCACCCAAACTGTAGATATTTTGACAATTTTATGCTTAAGACTTAACATACAAAATGAACATTCTATTACGCTTTTATTGTTTTATTTATTTTATTTGTTTGTTTACTTACTATAACCAATTTAGCTTTAGACTAACCCTGATGAACCTACCCATCACTTGAGAGCTCTGCTCTAGAGCTAATTAAAATGTGCCAGGAAAGGGAGAAAGACAAGTAGGGAGAAAAGAAGGGAGTTTCTGTGACGGTTCTTACAAAGATTTCTTATAAGAAAGAAAAGAGAAAAGAAACAAAAATAAAAAAAAAAAGGAAGGAAGAGAAAAGAAATAGAAAAAAGCTGAGATTTAAATACTCTTAATGAAATGCAGGTTCCCACCCTTGTCCCCTCTCAATTTCTACTGGTCAGCACACAGAGTAAGGATGAGCATTTGTCTGTAAACATGAGTATTTGTCTAAAGAAGGAATGTATTCATCTGACCCCAGACTAGAATCATTGAGTCCTAGAGTCAGACTGGACCTTAGAAACAATTTTGGGTAGCCTCCTGCTGAAGCAGTCCCTCCTGCAATATCACTACCAGGTTGTCAGCCAGACCTGGAAGATTCCTAGGGACAGGCAACCACTGCTTCCTGCACTAGTCTACACCTGTCTGGGGTAGCTCAAACTGACAGGAGTTGTGGTCTTACAATGATCCCAAATACACCTCCCTGTTAGTTATGCACACTGGCTCTGTTTCTGCCCTCTGGGTGACACCAATATTTTCCACATGACAGCTCCTGAGGTATAAGAAGGAAATCCCTTGCCCTTCAACCCTTAATCTTTTCTTCCCCAGGCTAAACATACCCATTTCCATCAGTCATTCAATGATTTCTAAAAAGACTCTGGGAAGAACTGAACAATGAATTCCACTGGTACAATGTTTGTATATTCTTACATATTATAACATATTTACTGGAATTTGACAATTAACCTAATATTTTAATTAATTGGTGGCAAATGGAGCTAGCTTATTTGATAATACATTTTTAGGATGCCAGGGTACTTAAAATGTGCCAAATTTCAAAACTATATTAGAACATAATTTAGCTTCTCTGATGTCTTAGAAGGTATAATAAGATTCTAGAAGGCACTGGGGCCACATTTATGGCTTTGTTTTTTATTGTGACACAGCTATATGGAAGTAGTGATGAGTGAATATTCTGGCTAACAAAATAAACAGTGAATTTTCTTTAGCGCTAAAGAATTATTTTAGTAGGGTTTTTTTTGTTTTTGTTTTTTTGTTTTTTTGTTTGTTTGACACAGCTATATGGAAGTAGTGATGAGTGAATATTTTGGCTAACAAAATAAACATTTTCTTTAGCGCTAAAGAATTATTTTAGTAGGGTTTTTTTTTGTTTGTTAGTTTGTTTTGTCTTGTTTTGTTTTTCATCTGCATTCACTTCTGTTATATCATTGACTCTAGTTCCGCTTTTCTTTTTTTAACTCTAATCGACATTTATGAGCTTTTATTAAAAGCACAAAATCCCATAGCAACATCAAAGAAAAGAGTAATTTACAACCAAAGAGCACAGAAAATCCTTTCATTTAATTGTCCTTTGCAAAAATACCATTTATCAAGACATTGTTTAAAAATTAAAGAAAAAAGGTAGAAAGTGTCAGAAAAGTATGACACCAAATAGAAAGAAATATAATATAAAACTGAGATGTTGATGGCCAACTCACACAGTTTTTTTATTAGTCTACATGATAAGGTGAACATTAAGTGCTAACATGTTATACTTACTTCCTTTGTTTTACCTGGGACTGGGTATAGGGGTAGAGAGGTGGCATTTGAACAGAATCTTGATGTACTCCTGCGTTTTCTAAGTATGTGTTTACCTTATTTTCCCTTTCAATTTTCGTCCCTTGCTCTATCCTTAGCCCATTCTTAGCAACTAAAAAAGAGTTCCCAGACATTCAAACAACCGCAAGAACAACTTCCCATTAGGAATTCTACATAAGCCTCCAAACCACAGAAAGACCCTTGGGCAACCATGGGCCACTAGAGTGCTTTAACAGAGACTCCTTTAGTCGGGTCAACAGACATCTCCCTTAGCATTGCAGACCAACCACTGCTGCCAGCTCTGAGAACGTTCGAACTGACCTTCAGAGGAGAGATGTGAGACTGCAAGACGTATCCATGGACATTTTCTATTTGAGACAGGTTCTTTTCTGATACATGCACCAGCTCCGGTCCTCTTACTTCATGGGTTAGTCGAGGTAAGGAATGATCGTGTGGAGCGTCCTCATCTTGGTATCGATACTTCTAGGAGAAAAGACAAGAAAGAACAGCAGAAGCATTAGTGTTGCAAAGGGTAGAGTTGAGAACTTCATATTCCAACTTTACTTACAGGACCCAGTGCATACCTACTGTTGACCAAACAGATAATAAATACGAGGCTTTGCTGCAGATTCTTCTGGTGGTCACCATAAGCAACCTCGATACTGAACACTGAATAAGCCTCAGCACTGACCGACGTTGATGACTTGTTTTTACCAGATAATATACTATCTCTGTTTTAAGGTACAGGAAGGTGAAAACAAATGAGACTGAGGTGATTTACCGAAGCCTTCCTCCTAATGACCAGAGTACCTAAGCGTGTGCTAAAATGTCTAGGTCAGGAATGGAGAAGGAAAACAAAAATGTATTGAGCAATGAAACAGACTTCTAATACCTTCCATTCAGGAAATGTAATTTTGTTTCAGAATCTGTGAAAGACTAAAGTTCCCTTGGAAATGAAGAACAATTTTTGCCACCCACATTATTTTTGTTGGCCTCAAAAGGAAGACAATCTTCTGTTCCTCTCATACTCAAAGAGAAGGAGTACTGATTTGGGTTAATCAGATTCTGGGACAAAGAATCACAATTTCCGGAGATGGAGCTTCCTTCTAAAGAACTTCAAAAATCAAGGCCAAGGGTCTGCCTATTTTAGCAACTGAAAAGAGTTCCCAGGCATTCAAACAACTGCAGGAACAACTGCCCCGCTTCAGGAATTCCAGGTAAGCCTCCAAACCACACAAATACTACCGTCTATGCAGCCACCTGAGCCAGAAGAGGAGTCAGCCAGACTCCATCCTATCTTTCACTCTCCCATCTGCAAATTTAATAATTCACTGAGTCTGCCTAATTTATATTTAAATAATTCTTGAGTCTACTTCATCCTTATCCCCCATTACCACCACTGCCCAAATTCAGGTTCAGTTCAGCTCTCGTCCGGGGAACCCCTGGGCTGTACAGACTGCCACTGAGATTGCTCTTTCCCAGTGTAGAGATTTCCTCTACACTGCACTGCACGGTCTTCTGAAATCACAAATTGGCAAGTTCTTCTCTTTAAACCCATTCAGCAGCCCCCACCACCCTCAGGACAGAACTCAAGCTTCCTTGTACTATAAGGTACCCCTCAACACCACTACCTGAGCAGAGTCCCCATTACTTCTGAACTCTTTTATTTCACCACTTCTACCTCAGGATTGTGGAATGAATATAAACATATCATTACTTTCAGGTTTTTAAAAAATACATATTTTTTAGAATTCTGGTAAAATACACATAAAAATTTCCATCATAATCATGTTTAACTGTTAAGTAATATGAAGTATATTCATATTAATGTGTAACCAATCTCCAGATCTTTTTCATCTTGCAAATCTGAAACTCTATAGCCATTAAACAGCAATGCCCAATTTTTCCATCCTCCAGCCCCCGGCAACCACCACTCTACCCATTCTACTTTCTATTTCTACTAATTTTACTACTTTAGATACCTTATATCAGTGGAATCATACAGTATTTATTTTTTTATTACTGGCTTATTTTATTTCACATAATGTCCTTAAGGTTCATCCATGCTATAGCATGTGACATGATTTCTTTCCTTTTTCAAGGCTGAATAATATTCCATTGTATGTACACACCACATTTTGTTCATTCATTCATCTGTAGATGGGTGGTTTGGTTGCTTCTACCTCTTGGCTATCATGAATAATGCTGTTCTGAACAGGGGCATACAAGTGTCTCTTTAAAACCCTGCTTTCAATTCTTTTACATAAATACCCAGAATTAGAATTGCTGGATTATGTGGTTATTACATTTTGGGGTTTTTTGAGGAATTTATTAAGCTTTTTAACATTTCACATGTGTAAAACCATGTTCATGTTACTTATAACAGTTAGGAAATGCTTGTGTTCTGATAAAGATCCAAGAATGCCAAAAGCAAAATCTTGCAAAGTTAAAAGGATTATGTGGCTCCTCCAGGATTCTTCTAGTGAGATTTAGCTGGCTTAGAGAAAGATTCCATCCATTAAAATACACATTTTACTGAACTATTTGGACAAATAACTATCAAGACACAGATAATAAACTCAGTTGAACTTATGTGGTGTCACAAGTAACTTATTTTAAATTATTTGCATAAATGTAAGACACATTTTTAAGACTGATAGGGCCTTAAATTAGGCTATAAAACCAATCTTCATGCTCAATTAATATTTGATTAGTTACAAACTGTTCATTTTAACATTCATTGATCCTTTAGGCTTCAACTTGGCCTTTATCTTTTCTGGGAACATTTTGTGAACTGTAAGTCGGAGATTTTGTGGGTGTTCCCATACTTCCCTGCAATTTTTATTATGTTATGTGCCTGTGTACTTGTGTGTGTGTGTGTGTGTGTGTATGTGCATTGTTCACACTGACTATAAGATTCTGCGAGTACTGGACAGTTGAGTCTTGTTTATCCTCTTACCTCCAGTCCTTAGGCAAATGCCTGGCACATATACTTAGTACGTATTTGTTGAATAAAGTTATAGGACAAACAAATGGATGAAATGGGGATCATTTGCTTAAGCTACAAAGTTATTTTGGCTGCAGGATGCAAGCTCCTTCATTGCAAAATATTATGAAATTAGGTTTAAGTAAAAAAAGGCAACTGCATCACTTGCTTGACACAATCTTAGAGGACATCGTATTCTTAAGTATTCTCTATCTCTCTGCCTTATAATTTCTTTCCATAAGATTTGCTAAGAATATAAATTGAATAAGAAACAGTTTTTGACCTTGAGAAAGCCATGAATTATTAAATGAGTCCCATACATGTGTGGCTAAGCCACAATATACAGTCCTAACGACAAGTATAAACTGAGTTCTGTGGGAACAGAAATAGGTCATCCCTAACTCCATCTAAGCCTTCCCAGTTGGCAACAGGATCTAGAATGATAATAGAAAGGAGGAAGAGATATTCTAAGCAAAGGCACTAACATGTATAAAGGACATAAGTGATAAGAGAGGATGATGTTTTGGGGGAACAGTGAAATCCTGAAATGGATAGGAGATTCTACTGCACCCATCCCCCCAAATTCATGGAAATCCCTTCTCTACATTCAAAGCCCACATCTGCATACTTCTCGGAATGATCACACTTGGGTGACTGAAGCGTCCTTATGTAGATGGGCCTGGGAATTATAGTGGAATCCTCAACTTCTATACCTCAAGTGAAACAAATCCTGTGGGGCCAAATACACTCCAAAGCATCTGATGGGATTGGGGTTGAAGCTTGTCTGCACCCGGACCTACATTCTTGCAGAACTTCTTGGTGCTTCCTCACATCCTTCACAGTTTCCTTCTGGAACCGCCTCCCACAAGTCATGCACACACCAATCCCCATTTTACATCTGGTGAGCCTGATGTAAAATTTGGGTGGAAACTAGGATGTGAGGTACAGTGTGGCAAGACACGAGGCTGAAAGGCAGACTGCTATTTACTGTAGACAAGAGGGAACACCCAAGGGAGCTAACTGATGCCCTTTCTAGTGCCAGCCACATAGTCCCCCTTTTTTTTATATTGATTTTCTTCCAGTATCCTGCAAGAGATGACAAAGCAAGGGGTTACAGTATCTGCTGACAAGTGCCATATTTAACTCAAAAGCAAGCCTCAAAAGGAATTACCCTAACAGGGCATAGAATCTGCTTGGATTCAACTTTGGCTGGACCATAAATCATATTTTTGGTTTGTACTAGATAGACTAAAATCAATATTAAAACAAATGTTATTTAAGAGAAATGTTATTAAGAGAAATACTAATCCTAACACTAATGCCAATATTAAAGTCAATAATAATGTCAATAGCTATACTAAATTATTATTTTTTTTAATTGGTACATTTAATTTATTTTTGTATGCACATGAGAGAGAGAGAGAGAGTGTGTGTGTGAGCTGGAGGGAGAGGGAGAGAAATCCGAAGTAGACTCTGCGTTGAGTATAGAGCCCAACAAGGGGTCTGATCCCACAACTGCAAGATCATAACCTGAGCCAAAAGCAAGAGTCAGCCACTCAACCGAGCCACCCAGGCGCCCCTATGCTAAATTCTTTATATGCATCTTCACACCTGAGAGATAGGTGTTCTTATTCTCCTCATCTGAGGCTTGCATGGTTAGGCATTTTTTTCTAAGATTATATACCTGATGAGTGGCAAGCTAGGATTCGAACACAGCTCACTCTGACTCTGGAGCTAGAATACCTGAATCTTCTTCTAAAGTTCCTCAAAGATCTTAGGAAACCCACTTTATCTTCAGGAAATATAATACTTAGGAAATCTTCAAGAGTCATCTAATAAGGGAGATTAAACAACTCCAAAAAGGTCACATCCTGATTTCAGAATCAGTCCTAACATTTTGAGCAATTCTGAGTTATTTTTCATGCCAGGGCTTGTCTATTAACTACTGACACCATTCTGGGCATCTTTGAGGGTTTCCGTATTGCCTGTAAAAGGAGAGCCATTTAAGGAAGGCCTCTGTTTAGAAATCTGTGTTTTCCTTTTCCTGTCTTCAGCTTGGTCCATTAGAGGGGACTCTGGAGCAGAAGCAATTTTGAAATCAGATTTTATTTTCTCTCTCAGCTTTAAGGAGAGTGAGGCAGAAGAAGAGCTCAAGACAGGGAAGACATGCTCTTCATTCCCCCCCTGCCCCCACCCGGGTCTTAGCTCATTTTGTCCCTGACTTCTGGAATCCTATCCTCTTCTGAAGCTTATCCCCCCCTTCTGAAGCTTAATCCCTGACTCATGGACTCCTTCATCAGGTAAGCTTTTCAGGTCCTTGATGCTCAGACTGGGTGTATCTCCTCTTGGAAGGATTCTCTGATTGCAAAGGTTGAAAGGATCTGCTCCCATTGGGTTCAGCACAGATTTCTGTCATAAAATAACAGCTTTATACTGCAAAGACCTGCCCGTGTGCCTATCATTCCTACTAGCCCCTGAGTGGTTCTTGAGCACTGAT